AGACAGACCTGCTTTGAACCCAGGGTTCACCACAGAGCTAAAATCAACATACAACTTTTTCCTCAACAATTAAATGGGCAGGGAGTCAAAAAGATAATACATGTGACGTGCTATTAGGGAGTTCCTAACCTCCAGAATTCGTAGTATGAGTAGATATAGCTGTTGTTGAGAGAATATCAAACAGGAGATTTTCTACCCTTACTTGGTAAATCCCACCCCCACACCAGAAAGAGTATATGTTCGATTTCATGGGGAATGAGGAGGATTTTGCCACAAAAAGAAATGAATACATAATTTCATATATGAGGGTGCCAAAGAGGAGATAACATTAACTTAATGAAAGGGAACAAGTTAAAGAAAATCAACAGCTGAAAAGATAAACAACAAGGTGCAATGACCTTAGTAGATAAACTTCACATAGAATTAGTAGTTAAATAGCTAATATTTATTGAACACATACATGCTGGTACTGGGCTAAGCCTTTTTCATGTTTTATCTCACTTAATCCTCATGGTAACTCAATAAAATGCAGGTGTGGTTATTATCTTCATTTGATGCATAAGGATCCCTAGTCTTAGAGAAGTTTATTAAATTGACCAAAAGCCATACAGCTAGGTAGGGATAGATTCAGAATTTGAACTTAGATTAGTCCAGTATCCGAGCCAAGGTTCCTCACAACTTCACTAAGCTATGCTGTCTGTTTTTTAAAAATCATAATAAATTACTTTTATTTGGAGCATTGCTGCTTATAAAGTGTATTGGTTCAGGTTAAACCACATGAAATTGCCATTTTTGTATGTCAAAAATGGTTGAGTACTGGCAATTTTATGTTTCAACCTATACTGTAGTCCTTTGAGTCAAACAGTAATTTCATTTGGGAATTACAAATAAGGTTTTAAAATTGAGGAATCTGAGACCTAGATAAGATTAAGGATATTGAAAGAGTCCCAGAAATAAAAAGATGAAGGAGGGAGAGTATTTGTGTTATCTTGCATAGTTCTTTACTGATTTCACTGCCCATGCAAAATTCCTTCTTACCTAAACATCTCTTTGATTTCCTGCTTTCTTGCTTCTGCTCCAGCAATATCTTCTCCCCTCTCCACCCATGCACTTTAAAATCTGATACACATATTTTTCTCCCTTAAGGCTCCCCAGCTTACCCTGTGGAGAACGTAGTTTCTTCCAAACTCCTTTCCATAGATCACCTCACTCACTCACTACATAATGGTATTTGTCTTAATCCTGCTTTTAGTCCTGAACTGCCTTCATATGTTTTTCTTCTCAGTCTTCTGCAATCATTGTATAGAACTTGAAGCCTTGTTACAGCGTTCTCTTTGATAACCTCTTTTCTCCCTTTGGTGATTCGCTGAGGCATAATTAGTGTCTACTATGGAAAAACTTTACTCAAGATTTTTAGAGAAAATGGAGATCATAAGCATCACATTCCAAACCCACACTATCTCTACCAAAAAAGCAAAACAAAACTCTCCTCCACCCTTCTCCTCCTCCAGGCACCACCCTCCAGGCAAGTTCCAAAAAGTTCCAGAAAGCATCCTCCAAGCTTCTCCTCGTCCCCTGCCTTCCTATAGCTTTCAGCTCCTTCTTGCGTGCAGTGCCGTGGGGCCCTGCCTCAGCTCTTATAATTTGCATCTTCACACTTACAACTACCATGCTCAACAAACTCAAAACCAGTCTCTGTGCTATATGAGGTAACTAGACATGATAAATAATAAATAATATTTTCTCTTCATACTTCTTATGCAGTGTGTTCTTTTCTCCCAACAGCCTATGAGCCCATATCTTAAACATGGTAGCATTTATTTAGCACGTACTATGAGCCAAATACTATGTGCCATGGATTAATCTCTATTTCTGACACTTGCTGCACCCCTCTCCACTAAGATCTAGCATACTGCAAGAGCAAGTATGAAAAATATCTTGTTAAATTGTTTTCCATTGTACCAGATAATCTTTTAAAGCACCAAGAAAAAAAGGATTTAAACTAGTGAGGCGAATTCTGGTTCTCTGACAGATATAAATCCACTGTATATATATTTTCAAGATTATAAGTATTTTTAAAGTATTTTCTATAAATCTGTACCTGTCTTTCAATGGCATAGGCCACTACCTACCAAAATTATCACTAAATTATTTGAAATTAGGTACTTATCAATAAGAGAAATATTAAAATTTCTGGCAAAAAATAAAAGTAAGTGCTTTTTATAACAACATAATCTCACTAATAAAAGACATGCAACTTAAATGATATGTTCATACACATAAATTAACAAAACACTTTAAAATGAAGACACTCAATGCTAGCAAGGATGAAATAAAGCAAGTATATACATAGAGAGTTAATAGGACTATAAATGGAAACACTCCTTTTAGAAAGCAGTGTGGCAATATATGTTACAAAGCCCCCAAGGTATTTATGTCCTTATATTCAGTATGACTTAGTAGATATTTATTTTGAGGAAATAATAAAAAAAATTATGAATGAAGATTTCCACTGCAATGCTATTTAAAAATGGTAACAACCTAAATGTGTAACAGTAGGAGAATGAATGAGTAAATTTAGAAATATGTACTCAAACTAAGGTTAAACAGTATTCTAAAAGCCTAAAAGTAAAGGGCTGTGATAATACAAAATTCCTTTCTAAAATGTTAATTGAAAAATTGGGATGCAAAATTATACACACACACACACACACACACACACACACACACACACACACAAACACAACCACAAAATGATCAGAGAGAGATATATATAAAACAATGGTATATATATATTTGCAGCTTAGAACTCCAAGTAATTTTCCTACTACATTATATTACTTACTTTTTCATAATAAACTTCATTATTTATAATCAGAGAACAATAAAAAGTGTTTCTTCAACATAAAGCTTGGTTTTAGTACACACCGTGGAAGCTTTCTCAGTCCTCTCAAAACTGACTAATACAACAAGTAACTCACTAAAACAAGTGACTGACAAATATAACATTCCGAACATTCCTAGTCAATAGATTCTTTTCAGTTAACTTGTTCCTATAAGTCATAGTAGGGCATTTTTTCCAAGCCAGTTTGCGTCCATTACACTGCTGACTAAAATGATGTAAGAGAATAAAATATTATGTAAATTAATAAAAATATCAGTGAGAAAAATGTTTCAATAAAGGGATCTGATAAGGACTGAAAGAAGGGCTGTCAAGTCAGTTGTAGAAGACGGCAAATGGAAAACACCGAGGCATCATGGGGCTTATGATATAATTTACACGAAAATCATAAAACTCTAGAATGATTCTATACACAGACTACCACACAAAGGTCTTTTAAACTTTTCTTTTAAAGAGTAAGAAACAAAAAGTGGGACCGTCTATAACACACTGTCAGTGAGGCTTGTGCCAGAAAGATGAATGAATCCCAGTTAGCACACTTAGGTTCAAAGTAAAAATCTTTTACCAAAAATGTTATATTTTAATGTATATTTATGTTTTAAACAAAAACAAAATGTCAATACCATGTATATTTTAATCAACTTTTAGATAAACCCACCAAATACTCTTTCTCATTGGTCAGATAGGAAGGCTTCTACTGCATATAATATATACACACAAGAGTAACTTATAATCATATATGTAAAGTATAATTAAGTTATGTATATGCTTATAAGCAAATATATGTGTGCATATGTATATATGCATATAAAGATATATGGGTATATATGTATGTATGTATATATATGAGTCTACATATACACACATATAAAGTATATATAAATACCATGAAATTAACTACTCTACTGCTTCACCAAATCATGCAATCATGCAATAGACCTCTCATAAGAAGGTAATTTAGCAAACTCAAAGTGTGAAATTAGACTTAGCGACAATGATCATGGCGCGAGCAGGCACTATGGTTCTGGTTGAAAGCATCTTGTTTAACTTACTGTTCCTTCACCCTTATCAGCAATGGCCAGAGCCAAGGAACCTCTTGTTCAGACATCCTAAGATTCACTTTCTGGTGGGGTTCAAGTACCTAAACTTAAAGCACTTGTGCAAAGACACCATTTACAACCAACTCAGGAGCCGGCTTTGGGACTCTGGTTTAATAAGTTTCTCAGAGGTCAGTCCAAGTTTTTAGTGCTCCTTCCTCTTCAGTATGTGAAGTCAAGACTGGCTAAATGAGTTCAGAAGTCCAAGTGGTGAAGTAAATAGCTCTTCTTTAAAATACATATAAGAACGTTTTGTATTGGTGAATGGGCATATTCTCATTTTTCTCCTTGGCTGAAAAGATATTAAAATGGTAACACACAGAGGAGAGCATTACACTGTTAGGTACACTGGGCAGTGAGAAAACATTCCAAGTGAAGCATCAAGAGTAGTAAACCTGGCTTCAAACCTTTGCTCCTTGCTTTCTAGCTCGGTGATTTGGGCAAGTTGCTAAACCTTTCTGAACCATATTTTCTCATCTTAAAAATGAGAGAACTACCACCATGTTATGAGGTTTTGTGAAATTAGCCAAAACCATGCACGTGTCTGGCACATTTATTCAGAGATCAACAAATGTTCACTTCTCCACCTCTTCAGGTTTTGGTGTCTTAACCTGAAATAGGGTTATTGGAGGATCCAAAGTGGTAACACATACAGGGTGAGGCAAAAGTAGGTTTACAGTTGTTTGTATGGAAAACAATACAATAATTAATAAATAATACAAGAATGAACTCTGTTTCATATTCTCACAACTGTAAACCTACTTTTGTCCCACCTTGTACATGTCAGAGACTCTGCCTCAAGTCTGATCCATAATAAATGTCTTCTCATAAAAAAATAAACAACTAGAAATACTAATAGGTAACTTCTTACCCAATGTTGCTTGCTCTCTATTAATCTCATTAATCACATAAAGGAAACATTCTACTATTTCATGTTTTTCTCACACACACACACACACACACACACACACACACAATTCCCAGTGATATATAAGGCTCACCTGCAGTTCCAGAGAGTTCCACACTTAAGGTTCGTTCAATAGTCTTGTTCTCAAATGGGGAACCCTTGGGGTCACTGGAAGATATGGCACATTTATAAAAACAAACTGAAATGGAGTTGCTGTAGCCAAATGTATTAGAACCCCCTTCCCTTTCTGAAAATGGTTACGTTTCTTAATACTTACTTTGGTGACTCTGGGGTCAGAGGAAGAGATAAAGTTGTTGGTTTGGCTAAAGGGAAAAAAAGGAAACTAATTATGAAATATTGAGTGTTTTTTTAGATTTGTTTTCTTTCTACAACAGTCAGGTTGGAAACTGGAAAATGGAAAACGAAAGTAAGGAAATTTCTAAATATTGGCTCAAAGTCAGACAACAGTCCATTATGCTAAAAAAAAAAAAATTCCAAACAACATTTGCATAAGGGAACTATCAATTCAAAAAACATACAAAAATAGAAATTTAAAAAGAAATGTAGCCTCCCTGTTAAGGATACAAAATTCACATCAAACCATCAGAGAGAAATAATGCTTTCTATTTTAATTTGGAATACAGTACACGGTTTGTTTAGACAAGAAGAGAGCAGAGTAACTACAAGATGACAGAACGTTATGAATATTCAGTTGATTTTTCTCCTGAAATGTATAATTTTATATCTAGCCTGAGACTAGGCTATCTGTATGAGGCCAAAGCTCACACAATAACCATTCTATTCACTAAAAATTAATAGTGAGATATGGCAAGTTGTGCACAGTGACCCAGGCAGTTGGAAGAGGGTTCAGATCCCCAAATTGAATAGACAAGTAAAGTAAAATACTCTGTTTATCAGCTGAGAGACCCATTGATTTGCAAAGAGAGCTCACGTACTCCTTCTATGCTTCCTAAATTTTACCTCCTACAGAATGCATTTCCCAATTATGAAGGGTGAAGTAAGAATTTTCTTCTTACTCCAAAATTTCTATTGCTTCTCTTCAGCAATCTTGTATTTTGAACAGAAGGAGGGGAAAGCATGATGAAAAATGTTCTTGGGTACATATCTATATATTATGTATATATGCTTATCTACAAATATATATTTAAATGTATGTCAATTTTTTTTCTCAGTAAAATAACTGCTTTCAAAAGGTCAAGAGATAGTCATTTAAGCAATGAAAATCATGGAATTGAAATCAAAAAGGTCTTTAAAATAAACTTCCTTATTTTATGGGTAGAAAACCTAGAAAAATCTTTTGAGATGCTAAGTGATATTGCCACAGCTATAAAACTAGTTTCTGGCAGAGTTGGTCCAGAATGTGTTTCCTTTCTCCTTATTATTAAAAGGAACTGCAACCAATAGATATTAAAGTAAATTCATCAACCCCAGTAATTAAGGTCTTTTGAAATGTAAAAATATTATTTATATCCAAATTAGGCTGAAATTAGATACTTTACTTGGATAAATAGTATTTACATATTTAATTTGTAGGTTTAGATTCAGTTTTTAAACAATGGAATGGTTTATCATCTATCCAATGTGCATTCACTGATTCGAAGCTCATGCTGTCTTCTACAAATTAGGTACATTGACTGATTGATCTTTTTCATATATACACATAAATGACTGGCTTTACATTAATTTTTTACTATGTCTGATATAATGAGCCTTTCAAAAAGAGCACACTTATGAAAAAAATTTACCAACTTTTACAGTGCTCAACTAATAATTAAGATAATGTGTACATGTTCTATAGAAAATGTCACCAGATATGAACCATGTACTGTTTCACACAAGAAAGGTACATTGAAAATCAGTCACTAGAATTCCAGTTTTCAAGGTGCAGAGTAGGCTATCTGAACTGCTCAAAGTAAGACTCCCAAAATTCTCGTAGTTGGGTATATAGGTAAGGCCAAGGGCAATAGAAAAAGAGGGGTGGGTAGTGGCCATATTTAATGAGGCCAAAGGCAAACAGGAAATGAGGGCCATAGGAAGGGCACAGCTCAAACCATATACAGATTCTAATCCTTCAATCTGCCCAGGCTCACAAAAGCTACCACTAACGGAACATCGATTTGTGTCACTCGGAGTTTAATCCACGTTGTTACAATGACTGGTAGACCAGAGACTCTATGATCCTTGAGGGCAGGAAGTCATCTTTTTCATGTAGATCATGGTATTTTTGATGAGTGAATACATTAGTGAATGAATGAAAAAGTGAGTTAATGAGACCACAAATTGTGCCAAAGACCAGACCCTTATCCTAGGAATTTAAAAGAACCTGACTCCTCAATGGTATAAAAAGCACACAGAAAGTCCAGTGAGAAAAAAGCTACAGTATGTTAAGAAAGGTGGCCTCAATAGATCCTCTCTTAGTTATCATCTCCAATAGGTCATATTTTTTTAATTTTCAAATTTTGAATATAATTTAAATAATCCCTAAAGCTGAGCATTTATCTCCTGTTGGTTGTTAACAGCAGCCATGTTTATTTTTTTTAGGCCCTTCATAACTACCAGAATATACATATATTTTTGTCAAAAGAGTTTATTCAGGGATAAGCTGTTTATGTCGCACAGACATACACCTTAAAAAAAAAAGCATGCATCTTCTCCTAAAAAATAATTCCTCCACAGGCCAATTGAACGCCTCACTGCCATCGTTCGTAACAGTTTACACTAATATATAGTGGTACGCAAATTTAAAAATAAAAAAAAAAAAACACCAAAACCCTCAAAATCCAAAAGAACCAATTCAAGTGTAAAAGAAAAAAAGTCTTTAAAATGTGTTGTTGGCCTGGGTTCACTGACGACAAGGCTTCATGGAGCTGGAGACTTCAGGTTCAGCTCCAGCAAGTGCACGGGGGACCAGCAGGAGGTGGAGAGAGTGCGCCCAGCTGCTTCCCTTCGCCTGAGGCCTTCAACAGCGTGTCCACCTGCGCTCCCCGCCCCCGCCCCTGCTCCCGCACCCGCCGCCCCCAGCTGGGCTTTTCCACCCCGGGGGGTAAAACTCTTCCAGAGAGTGAGTGAGGGCCCGATCCGGGCTAAGCAAGCTAAGAGAATATGGCTCATTTCGATAAATTCGCTTATATTTCCCCGAAGTGACAGAAAGGGATAGTAACCTAACTGGGAGCCAATTTAAAATGTTGAAGGAAGGTTCCTGAAAATTCTGGGCTTAGGGTGAAGTGGGCATGAGACCGGGAAACTTGTAACACAGGGAAAGAAAATATTTTTGAAAAGCAGCGACAGCATACCTGCGCAAAATACTCATGGTTCAAAACAGGGATGAGGGGCTACCACTCTGCAGCTGGACAGGGACTTTGGGAAAACAAGGAAAGAAAAGAAGGTGGGTGTTTACAAATGCTGTAGTAGCACATGCCTGCCTCCATTACAGGGGTAGAGGGGTAGAGCACTTGGAAACTGGGATATTTTAAAGCAACAGCAACTTTCAATATGTTCTTTTTGGGCCTCTATAACTAGACAATTTTGAGAGAAGGAGCCAAAAGGAAAGAAAATTATCTCTCTGCCAAGAGAGGTTTTCCCCAAATCACTCTGATCTGCCTCAGAAGTGTCAGCATCCTAGTAACATATAGGGATAATAAAATATCAACCTAGATGTTTTGTTTAATCTAGGCAATATTTTTTAAGATAGGCCACAAATTTAAAAAGTTCTAGGAATCCCCAGATCCTTATGTACAAAATAAAGCCTGTGAGCCTAACATGTACTCTTTCAAAAGGGAAGGAGAGAATGCCCTTAATCACAAGAGGCTGCATATTTATTATTTACAATTTCTTAAGGTACATACACAGCAAATCAGCAATGCCTTATTTGTTTCATTATTGAAAGAGAAAAAGAATAAGAACTCTATAATGAATCGCCTAGCCCGGCTTGCCCTGAACTCCAGTTATCTCAGCATCTCGGAGTTCACGGAAACCCTGTCTGAGCTTGCGATGCTCCCTTACTGTCACCCCCAGTCTGGATAACATTTCAGGTGTCATTCGGTGACTGTGAATCAAGCCGCCCATCAGCTAAATAGGATATGTTCAAGCTGTGTCCAAGGAAGGGTGTTTACCCCCCATGTAAAGTGCTGAAATTCTCCTCCTGGAGAGACACCTCGGGAACGGAAGCCCAGAGTGTGGGCATTGTCAGCCTTGCCCCTGCTGCCTTTCCCTTCAGCGCCCTCACCCACAGAGTGTGCTCGGTCCCCAGCCTACCTTGTAAATGCTGCGGCTGTGACTGTGTGTGGGACTTCTTTTTGGAGGTGCATTTGTCTCTGCTGCTGTTCCTGGTCTCTGTGGGTTTGGTGTGAGGAGGGTCATCGTTTGTGGTCAGATATTTGAGAAGCTCCGAGCAGGGACGTCTTTGTGGCTTTTGCTGTTGACAAATGCTCTTCGCTTTATTGCTCCATGAATTCTCGGTCTTAAAAACAAGGCATAAAGAAAGCTAAAATTAGTGAACTGAACCTTAGCAGAATGGATATAGGTTTTCTGAAGAGATGAGATTTTCAATGAAGTGTTCAGTCTAAGTGTACTAGATCTATGAGCTGTGAATAATTGTTTGCAGAACAAGGGAAGAAAATTACATTTAAAATTCCTAAATGACATTTATGCAGCTTTTTATTTCATTTCTCCTACATTTCAATGTTCTTACTCAGCAACATGTAACTAACAAGACCCTATAGCGCCTTTACTGTGAATAAAAAAAAAAATAAGCTGGTTTAAACCTTAATTTGCTACTGATTGCTAGAGCCCAGTATTCACAATTCTCTTAAGTACCCCTTAACGCTCCCTTTTCACTCACAGTGAATGGCAAGACAAACATTGTTTAATACAGCCCGCTAACAGAATTATGTCACTGCCAGCATTCCATCCAATTAATGGCAGAGATGGATCTTTTGTGGTGATTCTGGAGCAATCTTTCTCAGGTTAGACAGCTGGCAAAATGGCAATCCTGCATCTTGAAGTCACTTATAGATAATACCAGCCCATCAGCCAATTAAATTGTAGCCCACATTGCTGCACATATTAACAAAGTGGGCAACAAGTAACAGACGGTGGACCTTCCATTCCAATTGTCCAAAGACAAATGAACTCTTCCTAGTTTAAACGAGCTAGCGTGCTGCTTTTGGAAACTCATTTCAAAATTGGTTTCACCATCATGAAGCAGCTGCAGGATCCCAGCGGAATGAACACAAATAAATAAAACTACGATTTGTTTTACAGCTTCAAGCAAAAACCCTTTGTTACTTTCCCTCCTGTATTAAAAAGTTTACTTTTGTACCTTAACGACTGCAGGGTTTGTTCTGATCCTGTGATTATGGTTTGCATGGTTCTGGGTACTGAGACCACTGCATTCATTATAACTTAGCTGAGTGTTGGCTGGTGCCAGTAAGAGCTTCTTAAGCTAGAAAAATATCAGAGAAGGGGAAAGGCAAGAAAATTATGAGTCTTCTAAGCACTAGAATAAGTTACTAATATTTTAACCTTAAAAATAATTATCATTATAAAAAGTAATTCTATCACTCTTTAATTATATCAAGCCTTAGCCCAAAAGCACTAACAAAAGTGTATTTTTAAAAAGTAAGAAAAGTTTGGCATCACACCACCAACTGTGAAAGTATTTCCTTCTCCTACAGTTGAGACTTAGTTTTATCTACCTCCATTTTTCTTTTGCATAAAATAAAGCAAAAGGATCTTCCTAAAAGGATTTCCAAATCACTGCTAGGTGAAAAAAGCTGCCTTGCTAAATGACAACTTGGGGAGTGTGTAGAGAATATATGGAAATTTTCTCCTCAATAACCCAAATTAATCAAGTGGCAATAAATGAAAGATTCTGTGACATTTTGAATAATGTTGCACAATCAAGCATATTACTTTACTGATTCAAATAATATTTGGAATAAAAGAGTGGCTATCATTGAAGATTTGTAAATAGGTAGTATTGGGAGATGTGCGTTCTGGCTCAGGCAAAGCATTTACTGTCTGTTGACCTCTGGTTCTTTGCTTGACTTGAGGGCCTTCCAGGATCTCCCTGCCTGGGACTCATAGTATGACTCTAGGTCAACATGGCCTCCCAGTTGAACCAATTGTGTGAATGAAAACCATTTAGTATCAATGTAAAAAAAAAAACAAAAACAAAAACCCGGGGTCCTAGACAGCAAAGCCAACCATACTGAAAACTGGAGAAACTGGGGAATAAATAACAATTACGTATGAGATATTTTCTTCTAGACTAGAATTCTGAGAAGGCAAGAAATCCAAGTAGGGTCTCCATCTGTTTACCTGGAGTGCTTTTAACATTTAAAAATTTAGAAATGAGAAGAAACAACCTCTAAATGGTACATCAAAGCACATTATTAAAGTCTGGAGGATGGCATTCTGTAATTTACATAGAGTGCTCTTACATCAGATTTATGGCAAATGACAAATGGCTACCACAGATGAGAAGGGAAACTATGTCTTAGAACTAATAAAATTCTGGTCAAGCACTGCACTGGAAAGAAAATTCACTCTTCATCCCCAAGAAATTCACTCTTCATTGCCTACCATAAATTTCGGTAACTTGGGTTGCAAATGTGCTATTATTTTTCAATCTTCATAAGAATTATAGATCCAAAACCTTAAAGTATTACATATCCCTTAATATACCCTCTATTTCTAGAATTTTATGCATAAGAATAAAACTACAAATATGTCAAGTAAAAAGTGGGGGGAAAAGACTAACTATCTAACTATAGGGATGGCTTAATAAATTAGGACATCTTCAAATAATAAAATACTATACAACCATTAAAAATAATATGCACATTTAAAATTTACAAACATGTTGATGATATAGCTTTATGAAAGAGGAGATTTCAAACATTTTTGCATATTAGAGGTTATTAGAAATTACAGGTGAATTTTTAGTCTATTTTTTTGATTGTCCACATTTTGTAAATTTCTACCATAAACATAAATGATACTAAGAAATAAACACACACTCATAGACACAATAGTTTTAAAAATGCAGGAAGATCACATGAAGACGGTATTATCAACACTTTTAAACACAGAATCACAGAATGTGCAACTCTGAGTGTGCTTGGGGACTGTTTTGGCAACAGTCGAAATTAAAAATCCAGACCTTATTGTTACTACATCATACCCATGCAGCAGGTAGCCAGAGGCAACTCCAATTTCTGTTAAACAGTAGGAAGGGTTCTTACTAGAGACGGCTCTTCGGCCTCCTGAGGCGGAGGGGTGCCGTCAGGCATGGAGGAAGGACTAGCCTCATTCTCAGTGGTCACATCTCCATCTGTCAGCGCATCAAATGAGGGCAATCCGTCTTCATCCACAGGGAGGCTGTCCAGTGTCTCTGTGAGGACTGCTAGCAAGTTCGCCTCATTTTCTTCATCTATCTTCTGCAAAAACCGAAAAACAGAAGACGACGTGAGTTGACATTGGGAGATGGGTAGCACTATTAATAGCATTGATTGGACATGTTTAGCCAAATGAGTAAATGATACATGAAATTTGAATGCCCATGCCAGAACACAAAGACCATGTCTTCCTCAAGCTCCAAATTCACTTTTGGTCTGAAACATGGAATTAATTAATACCTCTACTGTACCATTTTCTGATTGTCGAACTGTCCGATTTAGCAATTTATTATGCCGGTGCTTAATGCGGCTATATATAATTCTGTCTTGTTCACAGTCATTTTCCACATGTTTATGCCTTGTTTCCCTAACTAAGAGATGACCTAGAGAGTCTCAGGGCTTGAGAAAATTTCAACCATCATCCATTTCATCTTCACATATATGTTTCAATCTCCACAGCAAAGCTGCCATAATGTGTAGAAAACTGAACATCACCAGAAACCAAAACTATACCAAGAGAAACTGTACACTTTCATGATTTCAATTATGATATTATCGTTGAATGCTTCACAGTCATTTATTTTTTTTTCCCTACCTCGTTTCCCAACTTTAGTCATAAATCTATAACTGCATACTGGATATTTCCACCTGAGAATAGCTCCTTCATCTCCAAAACCCAAATCTAGGATGGTCCATGACAAAGTTACTATTTCTCTTGACTTCTCACATTTAGGTAACAACGCTTCAGACCAAAACTCTGTAACTACTGTGAGTCCTCTTTATCTGCCTCATCACTAAGTACAGTCTTACTTTGTAACATCTCTTAAATGTATTCATTTCTTGAGGGCAAGTGTACAATTCTAGTGTAAACTCACTTCTAAGGGGGGCCCCTCCAAACATACTCTAACTCGTTTTCCCGCACTCCTTGGAAAGCTAATGTTCACTTATTCATTCCACAAATATTTTTGAACACCTCAACTATATCAGGGCCATGTTTGGAGTTGAAGGTACAAAGAGAAACAAGACAAAACTCAGACCTTCCACTCCAGTGGAAGCTTTTGCACTTTCTTTATAGGGTAATGTGTTATGTTCATGCACCTAGGCAACCAATGCTGGGCAGAGAATAGAGGTATAGGTATTGATTACTTGCTGAATAATTAATTGGTCTGCATTTACTACATAGAATATATGTTGTGTACATCACTTTCTTTTCCTTCTTTTAGCACTTCACATTGTTTGTCCAATTTGAATTATTTTAAAAGTTCAGTATGCTATGACATTAACAATAGCTAAATTATCTCAAATAGGTTCTATTACAAAATGTACCTAGGCTGCTGACATCTAATGAACCCAGCAGGGCCCAAACTTCCTGTCTCTCTAGCACTGAACTCCAGTTAATTGACCTGACAAAATTACAAGAATCACAGAGTGAGACAGCTAATCAGAAAATCAAAAGGTATTACTAGAGAAATTAGGCAGGCCTTTATCATGCATACATTCTATTTTCACACTAAAAACTTGTTTTTTCTCATTACTGGTCAGCATCCAGACTTCTTTTTCTTTTGGATTCAAGAGGCTAATAAGGGTTATTTGCTATTCACAGCAGACTTTACTGGGCATTTTTTACATTTGCACAATGCCTCTCCCTCATGCCGCTGGACTGGACTTGACATCGTGAGTAGAGCGACAACTCGGAGTTTTTAGACTCTAATGCGCAAGGTGAAGCCTAGTCAGAAGGGATAAAATATTCACTTCAAAATGGCACCACTTACTTCCATAAACTGGTCAATTCCTTAAAACCCAAATTGCTTAATTCAATAATAAAACCTCATTGAGCACCCCTATTTCCCCCTCAGTTCTTCTGGACAATGTAATTTTAATAATAAAGATACTGAAATGATATTCCCTTATTTTCTAGCCACAATCATAATTTGTTATCCAAAGAATCCAATCTTCTTTCATTTTAATTTAGATTGCCCCACATACCAAAAGACCAAACCAGGTTATTAAACTGTTCTGAATAAAAATTATAATTAAATGAAATATATAATATTTTAAATATCCCCAAGTCATGAAATTTATATTACTATAAATATATCCATATTATTTCATTAACATAATTTTGAAAATGTCTCAAACACACACATAAACACACACAGTTTCAGTAAATTGGACATTTTTTCCCAGGTATCCTAATTTTTGTAACAACTTATTTCAGGTTTAAAAGATATTCAAGAAAAAATAGCCAAGAATATTTACTAGTAAATTGAGCAATTTTGTTTACCAGGATTTAAATTTTGTGTTTGGCTTTTCGGAAGTATGACAAGTCTCTATTTGCTTTCAATCACATAATACAATAGCACTTTAGTTTTATCCCTGGTGTAAACAAACTACAATAATTCCAGTCAAGACAGAATGACAAAGAACACTTATATTAACTAGTTTTTTTTTCAATTTCATTAATAAGCCTGGGTGAATGTACACCAAACACAATGGCAACAATATTGGAGCCTGATAATGTTATAATTAATTTACAAGATCTGATTAAACCACCAACTATTTTAATTCCTCTCTCTACTGGAACCACAATGAGGAGGTGAGTGTTATGGGATGGAAGATTAGAACTGTGTGTGTGTTCGGGTGTGTAGGTAGAGCTGGCTGGTATTCAACTAGTATGGATTAGTAGGGCTTTAATCATAATTTTTCAGTCGGTGTCCACGAGAAGTAATTTAAACCTTTTAATTATCATCCTTTTATGTGGACGGCTTTGAGAGATGCTCCACGACCAATTATTTTAGGGCAGTTGTTCTTGAATCAAAGAAAAAAAAATGTTATTATTTTAAATTCTCTGTTTTCTTTAACCATAAAAGACTGGGAGGAAAAGTGATATATATCAAGCACACTTTTCTGTTGAAGCCCAACAGGTATTCCTACATGTAAACTTGAGTGGACATTGCTCCTAATCATGAAAATTTCAATTAGTTTATTATGAGTTTCAAGAATCAAACACCCCTGAGAAGGCAATGAATGTTACAAAAAGAACTCTATTGAACAATTAATGTCACCTTCCATTATTGCTTTGGTCCCAATTTACAGAACAAATAAATCAAAATTGTTGCAGATGAGGCCCACTGGCCTAGGAACACATGTTTGTTCACGGCTGACAGGTCATGGAAACCCATTTGTCAGTAAAACGACATTGCAAGATAACCTTTCAAAGACTCAGCTCTGCTACTGCTTTCTAGATACTGAACCTGACTGTTCTAAAAAAAAGTACTTATTGGCTTCAAATAAGTTTTTAAACAGAAAAGGAGCGAGGTGAAGTGGAGAGAGCAGGTTACCAGTTGGGAGTGAAATGCAGCTACACAAACTGAGCTCAGCAGTCTCAGCTGAGAGCGGATGGGTAGAGTAGGGTACAGACCGGTCAACAAGCATCTCTCCCATTGAGCTCTGTGGCATCCAGCAGCGTATCCCATGGTGGGGCCAACCCTGGGCTCTCCTCACACAATGCTAGTCCACTGCTGTTCTTCCGACCTGAAGAAAGGTCCATGTGACTGTAACACTTCACTCTCTAAGGGCTCTCCAAGAATAAAAGAAAGCACATCAACAAAAACTTACTCAAGGTATAAAGAATTTCCAGAGACAGGTGATATTCATACATGAGTATGAACAACCCAAATTTAGAGTGTGCAGTAATTCCAAAGCAACGTCATATCCTTAGTAAATGAAAGTTCAGAACAGTCAACAAAATCCAAAGGTTCACGGCTGCCCTTTGGGATGGCTGGGTCCCTATGTGTCCTGTACAAAGTGTGCTATAATTCAAAAGGCACTATTAAAGGCAGATTCTGCCCCTTCCAGTGCCCAGAGAACCCTCAAAATTAAAATTTTGGACACAGTAAATAATACCTGGGCTCTCTTCCTTTGTGAGCAATTGGCAAAAGGATCTTCCAACTGGTTACACATCCTGGGGCAGACAGTGCATTCGACTCATCCAACTCTGCACACAGAGAGTGAATAAATCCACTAAATTAAGGAGGAGGTGAGGGTCTTTGAAATGCTAACCAACACCTGAGGGAGAAACCCAGAGTGAAAACGGCATGTGGCATCCCCAAGATTTCTAAATGCAGGCCATTATGTAAGGACCATGCCCTGCTCATGATAGTAATTTTTTCCACCTCTTGTAGAATTGCAATTACACTCTGTGTCCCTAGATTCTCACACTCGCTTGATCTCTGTTTGATAAAAATAGTTTAATAGCCATTTAATCACAGCTTCATTATCTTAGCTCTCTTAATGCGAATTAGGCCAGGAGAAATCTTGCTTCCTCATTATTCAAATCATCAATAAGAAGGAAACAGTGGGGTCTTCTTACCACTCATTAATCAGTTTCAGTATCTTAGGTACTGTTTACTCAGGGATCAATCTGTGTGAGAGGTCACTTAACCTCTCTGAGCCTCTATTTTTTTTCTGTATAAAATTTCAAGTTATTATCTGCCTAATTCCTATTACAGAATTTTTCTGCACTCATGATGAATAGGGAGATAAAAAGAGTGGATAAAGGCCTGAGAATTCTGGAAAAAAGGTGCTCAATAAACATTTCCAGTGTACATGCCCATCATCTTGATTACCAATATTTGAACTTCATTCTTTGAGCACGATCTAATGCCAACTTCTAGCTCTGGGCCAGCTTTCTACCAAATACCCAGCATGCCTTGGGCTTCCTCCTTGCCCCATCCGGCTGATTTGGAAGCAGCTAATGAAGACAAAATTAACTCCTACTTTAAGTGAGGCCTAATTAGGAAGGGAAATCTGCTACAGTAACATCTGGTAATGTATTCTGAAGCCAAAAGCAAGTGACATTTTTGGATTATCCACTATTTTGGACTATATCTTCCACCAGACCCCACCAGGAGTTGAAATAAATAAATGAGAAAGCAACTTTTATGATAGATTCAGGTGCTCAAATTAGAAATACAATTGATTGTAGGAGTCCCTTTCTCGGATGTCCATACATAAAATTCCGTCTTCAGCTGCATGCACAA